ATATTTACATCTTTTATGTTTTCTTTTCGCACCTTAGAACGAGTTTTTTAAGGCATTGTCCGAATTGCATGCTTTCTATACAAAATATCGACTCCTGTACGAACACGAGCTGGTAACACAGTTGATGATTCCAGTGCTTCAAGATACAGAGAATGAGTCAAGCTCAAGAATACAAGTAGGAATCTGGTCAGATTTGTATTTTAATGACATCTTTGCTTTCAGTACTTAATGCTCAACATCTTGTTTGATGTAGCTAAGACTGTTTCGCTGAGGGATGATGCTCGCTTATTTGAATCAGTAATGGGGATAGTGAGGCAGTTGTTCATATCCTCGATCCTGCGGAATACTGTAGAGACAGCTATAGAGGATGAAGACGATGCTGAGACAGTGGTGGCGCCAACTAGGCCACCACCCAGAGCGCCAGCACCAAAGGCTGGAGGTAAGTCGTTGAGAGTTTCCTGTTGTTCATCATTCGAATTTTTGAAGATTTTAGCTCTGAGCTTCGATAATCTTGAAGTTGTGGCGCAAAGTTTGGGTGAACTTTTGTCGGAGCGGTGGCTCATTCTGAACTTGCATACATTAGGAATAATTGTTGGTTAGTCATCTCAGCTCGTTGGTTAGTCAGCTTTCTCTGTACCTTTTTGTGACTGGCATTTCTAGACATCATGGTGGATCATTTGCAAGCGCAGTATGGTGCCGGCTGGATCGGCGAACAGGGCGCGGATGTGCGCCTACGTATATTTTCGGCGCTGCTGTCGATCCACTGCTGTCCTATAACTAATCGTCTGAGTAAGTGTATCATATTTTTGATATACGCGTTAGGCTATGAGAAGTGAAGCTGCATCCTATTTTAGCCTATCATGGTCTTGGTGAAGATTGGCCTCGTGTGAATGTGTACATAACCCGGGCAAATGCTAACGCTTCGGACGAAGAGCCTGGATTTTCATGGTCGCCTATTTGCACTGTAGTGACTATGGCAGCCAAGCAGGACACTTGGTAGGAAGAGAAACGACACTCCGTAGCGAAAAATATTTTATTTTCATCCAGGTGGCCTGTACTCCGTGCCATACTTCAGCAACTGCGTCGAGTTTTGGAGCACATCGCTTTCGTGAATACTGCAACCGATGAACAGGTGGTCGAGAGGCTTATGTCATTGGATAGAGCATGAAAAGAGCTTCATGCTAGTATGAATCCTCTCTCATTAATCAGTAATTCGCAATTTTAGGTGGATGAATTAGCCCAAGCACTGATTGCTATATATCAAAGAGCTGAACTTGGCCAAATTTCGCAGTACTTTGATGACAACCTCCCACAAAGTGAAGTAGATGAGAAGCAACTCAAAAGCCAAATAGCCAAGTTTCTTCCGCCCATACTTTGCACATTGGTAAGCAAATGATTTTGTTTGATATCAAGCTTTTTAATTCATGTTTACTTATTTAGCTCAACTACCCATGTCGTCAAGAACTGAGAAATACTGAACTTTGTAAGATATTGGTGGATTGTGTGGCGCAGGAAAGTATGGAAGTGAGCAAAAACCGTTGCTGTTTATTTTAACTGATTTCTGACCGCTCGCTACTTCAGGCAGTAATT